CAGGATCATATGGAGTTTTCTCATAGGCAGCACCAGTTCATGAGCCAGCTAACCTCTGGATGCCCTTTGTCAGGGAGAGAGTTTATGGCCTTTTATGTGGACAACAACCTGGGCCTCAAGGGGGTATGTAAAGCAGGGTGCCAGGAACAAGAAAAGGCAAGAAGAAAAGTGATAAGGATTTACACAATTTCCAGCTCATTACAAATTCCTCCCATTACCTCTCCCCTCGTGTTTTAATTTTTAATCTATTGAATTGCAAGTTGTTTTTGGAGAGCTATGTTCCACTCCTCCATCGTGTTTCAACAAGCAAGGAACCACATTTTAAATGGATAGACTTGGAAGAATGAAGATAGGAAAAGAGCTCTAGTCACCTCCTGTGGTTCTCACATAGAGCTTAGAGTACTTGGATTAGATTTTTTTCCCCCTCTTCCCCAATTAAAAACTAAAACAAGATACACAGATATTTAGCTATAGCTAATGCTTGTGTCTTTAGGGGACATATGTATATTTGTGATAAGTCTGTGTTACAAGCAATCACAGGGACAATCATGACCTAAGGGTAAATGTACAGATCTGAAAATAGTTTATGGTATAAAATTGAGGATGGGGATATATCAGCCTCCTAGGACTGCTATAATAAATGGCTACAAGCTAGACATTTTGAAACAGCAGAAATTTCTTCTCTCCCAGTTCTGGAGCCTAGAGGTCAGAAATCAGGCTGAGTAAGGGCAGGGCCAGGCTCCTTCCCAAAGCTCCTTCCTTCTTGCCTCTTTCAGCTTCTGGTGGCTCCTGACATTTTTTGTCTTGTGGTAGCATGATTGTGACCTTTGCTTCCATTGGCCCATGGCCAAATTTCCCTCTTCTTTCTTTTGTAAAGACACCTGTCCTTGGTCATACCCTTATCTGGTATGACCTCATCTTAACTAATTACATCTGCAGAACACTTATTTCCAAATGAGACCATATTCTTAGATTCTAAATGGATATAAATTCTGAAGAGACACTGTTCACTAATATAGGGAATTAAGTTTTAAAAAAATGGTTAGCTGATGCTCTGTGGTCTTTTAAAAGAAGTCTTCTCTGAACTGTTTTCACGGTAGGTGCTGGTACAAAGAGACCAGCAAACGGAGACAGCTTTTCATAGACCTCCTTCCTTCAAAGACAGAAAGGTAACACATTTCCCCTAAGATTTTCCTACCTCCTGCTCTGAAGTCATCCTTTGGTTTAAGTTCTGTGAATTCTGAAACATTTAGAATTCCTTTTGTCTTAACCCACTACTCAGTCACTTGGTTCTTAGTGTATATTCTTTGAGTCATTTTATTACTTTATACATATAAAAACAAATTTTTAGGATGGGTTGCTGACATTTAAGATTTTTAACCATATTGTGTCCTTTGCATCAAATTTTACTTGCAGATCTGCCCTCATGTAGCTGCAGAGTGTATGGAAACTTTTCTGTCTCACCAAAATAATGGAGTCATTTGCTGAGAGCAGATTAGGAAGACTGTGTGGATTTCCAGTTTGGGATAGCCACTTCAGGGAAAGGAATAGAATCCAGAGGAATTACGAGTTATAGAATGAGTTATAGAATTTGAGGTGTTGCACGAATGGTTGTGCAAGTGTCTCTTCAGTACCTAGGTAGAGGGTGAGGGAGGCAGAATATAGGATTGATCCACAAGCTGTGAGTATCTGGGTCAATTGTGAGATGGCTGGTGAGTGAGCCATGTATGTGTCCTCCTAGGAGAAGATGAGGGGTGAGTGAGTGACTGCAAAGGTGTAAAAAAGCCGAAGATCAGGAAGGTCAGGTCATGGCAGGTCAGTCCTGGGCAGGCACAATGATGTGACTGTAGGATTTTGTGGCTGAGGTGGGAGGCAAGGAAGGTACTGAAGTAGAGGTCATTAGGAAACTGAAATGTTTCATTTTGTTGATGTTGGCTTCATTTTGCTTCATTTCAATAAATAGTTATTAAACACTCTGTACACTGCAGGGGTGGTATTAGGCATATCTCAGCTGGATGAAGAGAATGTGCTGAGGTCAGGAAAGACAGTGCAAATATTTGGAGCTTTATAGGTTCAGGTTTTTGCTTAATGCTAATTTCCATCTTGGACTTGGCCATTTTTTAGGACCTTTTTTTTTTTCCAGGTGGAATTCTTGTTTTTTCTTTCTTTTATTTTATCATTTTTACATTTACTTATATGTGTATACATTATTTGGGCCACCTTCCCCACTCCTCCTGTGACCACCCCCTCCCTCCCCCCAGTACCCACCCCCTCCCTCCCCCCAGTACCCAACCCACCCTCTTGTTCTCTGATTTTGTTGAAAACATAAGAGATAATAAGAAAGACATAGTATTTTTTGCTAGTTTGAGATAAATATAACTATACAGAGAGATTCCTAGCATTGCTTCCATACACTTGTGTATTGTAACCCACATTGGTTCGTCTCTACCAGACCTCTTCACTACTTCCTAGTCCTCTTCCCATTGTGGTCTCAGCCAGTGTAAGATTATTATATTTGCTCCTCTACAGTGAGCACATCAACCACATTCAAGTTTTAGGTTTCCTTCCTTTTCCCTATTCCTCCCGTGCACATTCTCTTTTTTTTTATTTTTAATTGCTGATACTTCTCCAGTATGTCCCAAAGCTCTGGTTACTTTATCAAACTAAGTTAACTTTTTAGAAGAATCCTCAAGTTGATGTCTTCCCCTCCTTTGCATCTTTGTTGTAGATCCTGGACTGTTCTGTCCCTTTACCATGAACCGTGCCTAACAGATAACCCAGAGGTGCAGAGTATCCTTGCCTACCCTCTGCTGCATAGCAGGGGAGCACTTCTTTTTCTTTCTCTGTCTCATCTCTCACATCCTTACTACATTACCAAGGACTTTGCTTCTTCCAAGACTTTTTATCTTCTCCTGCAATCAGCAACCAGGTTTGCAGAAAATTTCCTTGTTGCTTTCTGAGTAGTATTTTTTCCCCTCAGGAAATCCTCATTTTTTTGTTTTATCCTCAAAGTGTAATCTGAATGTCAGATTACAATTTAATTCTTGAAACTTTTGCCAGGTATCAAGGAGAGACCTGTCTTCTGATTTCTTTAGAAAAGAGCACATTAACAGTCCAAGGGACTGGAATAGCAGTGGGGGCAAGGAGACCAGCAATCCCTAGCACAAGCTCCAGTTGGGACTGTGCCTCTGTGATGGCAGCTCCTTGTCCTATTGAAGCCTTTCATCTTCCCTTCTCCTGGCAGTGATTGCCAAGGTCTTTCCTGCCATAATGTATTGCAGTTAGAAGGGACTTTGGAGTCAGGCCAACATGGTTTCAAATTCCCACCTACTGCTTCTTAGCTGTGGTACCTTGGGATTGCTGCCTGATTTTTCAGTCTCAGTTTTCTCATCTGTAAGATGGAGACAGTCACCAGTGACATTTAGCGTATATATTTATACAGAGTAAATATTAAATGAAATATGCAGAAGGCATGTATGGTGGCTGGCAGATAGTAGGTGCTAGATAAAGGACAGATTTTGTTCTTATTACAAGATACACCTATAGCCTAGCAGCTTGGAGTTAGTTTCAGCACTTCTATAACAAAAAAGCACTTGTCCTTCAGCATTTTTAAAAGTTTATTTGAAGCTTCCTAAATGTAGACAAAACCCAGCATCGTACACTCCCTAGCCACACTTTTAGCTCCAGAGCTTGCTGAGCCTTCATGAGGACTTATTAACTTCTGACTTCTGAGGCAGAAGTCAACTCTCATTTGCACCCATAACACCTCCCCAGGACACAACGTGGAACTTTCTACAATCTTCAGGTTCTGCCTAAACTTCTAAGGCGCTAGGTAGAAATCTCATATAGGTCTGAATATTTGACTATTGACATATGAGCTGTGTTCTGTCCCCCTTTGGAGTATTGTGGCACCTAAATAAGTCTAATCTCACAGGGCACCTCACAATAATGTGGAAAGTAAATTCCACATTACACTTCTGTGCAATCATTGCTTATTTTGCACTGATGTTTGTCATTTTCAAACAAAATAAAAAATAGTTTCTTTCTTCAGAGATCATGATATTTTAGAGACACAGAGTCATGCACAATGTCATTTTTATGAATGTGTTGTCACACATTTCCTTGTGGGTTAGATAAGATTTACTATTTGACACCAAGCAAAACTGAATTTAAAATCTCGAATTCCTTGGCTGCCTATATCAGACCTCTGCCTAGCACAGACCCTTTGGTGTTAGCTTTGGCACTTTGGCTTGCTTAGCTCATTCTGATAGAAGTAGACAAGTACTATGAAAGAAAATTACGGAGGGGGCATCAAAAAAGAGCATATGCACAGGGATCTTGCTTTGAACGTGGGTGCAACTGCATTTCCTATTCTATACTAACTGGTTTCTTGTTCCCTTCTCCTAATTCCAGCAGTATTTTAGGAGTATATAACTAACACTGTTTTCTCTCCAAAATTCTTATAATAAAATTTCTATTAATATGGGACCTTTATTACTAAAATAAAAATATCCATTATTGAGCCCTACTTCATACTAACCCAAGTATATGAAAAGATGGGTAAGACATCGTCTGTAACCTCTGTGGAGAAGGGTGGAGATAAACTTTGTGGTAGAGAGGGAAACTGAGAGTGTTTGTACCTGTAGACTTGTTTTCCTTTTCTATGTTGTAAATTAACTACAAGAGAGGAGGAACAATGCAAGATGAAGCCTGGAAGAAAGCAAGCAAGTAAGTTTTTAAATAGTTGCTATGCAGAATGGGAAGGAAAACAGAGGTAAGCTAAAAACAGAGAGAGCAGTCGTATAAGTCTCGGAGTAAATGGTCATTTCATCTCTGTTATTCAATCGTCATCACCATGAGCACCATCATGGTCTCTAAATCATATTTTACTTCTAATTAAGAATATTCCATTGAAGAATAGGTTAGCATTGATACTAGTTTCATGCTCATTGTAGGATGTTCTCTTTTTTGGCATCCTGACTCTCATTTGTGTTTTGTAGGTTGAGCCAGTGATACAAAGAGGCCATGAGAACATGGTCCACCACATCCTCCTCTATCAGTGCAGTAGCAACTTTAATGACAGTGTTCTGGACTATGGCCACGAGTGCTACCACCCAAACATGCCTGATGCCTTCCTTACCTGTGAGACGGTGATATTTGCCTGGGCCATTGGAGGAGAGGTGGGTTAATGATTACTGAGATATAGAATAATTAATTGATCGTGTATCCCCAAAAAACTTTGGTTCTAACACTTAATAAATAAAGATCTACATGTTTTTGATATGAGAGAGGTATGTTTCTGTTTTCATTTGAAAGGATTCTTCCCTTAAGTGGTTGTATTTGATAAATGGTTGATTAGTGGTGTTCCAGAAGGTTGAAATATTTTGGGGAATGTTTGCAGTTTGAATGGAGTAGGGCCTTCAGGGATTTTCATAGGACACTGTCTCATGGAATTTTCCGTATTTAGGGATTTTCTTATCCACCTCATGTTGGGTTATCCCTTGGCACTCCATTAGATCCTCATTACGTGCTTCTAGAAGTCCATTATGATAATCCAACGCATAAGAAAGGTGAGTTCATTCTTTATAAATTTCACCTGTAATTTATAGAAAGTGTAACTTGTCTGTAAGAGTTGAAATAAAACAGCAACCAAAAATAGAAAGAGGTAACGCTTACATCTGCCATCCAAAGCAGGATACATTTCAGAGCAAAAGAGAGTGGGCATTAACCAGCACATGGTCACATGCATCACTGTTTTAAAAACCACATCCATGCTACCTACCAGGAAGCACAATAATAGACTTTTTTCCCTTTGTGATATAAATTAGTTCCAAATAGATGGTTGTTAAAAAAAACATTTTCTTTCTAACTGCACTGTGAAAAAGCTACCATTTATCACCCAAAAAACTATTAAGCATTTTGTTTTAGCAAGCCATGAATACTGAAAATATTTATGCAGTGAAACTACGTAAGATGATATTGAGGTGAAAAGGTAGGTGTAAAGATATGCATTTAATTTCTGAATTTACTTATGTAATATTCCCAAACCAAAAATCAGTAGATTTGATATGAAATTTCAACAGAAGCAATTCCAAGTAATTATTTTTACTTTGGTTTGTGTAATTATTCAGCAAATACTGAGCACTCACTATGTTCTGGCTGAGTGCTTGAAGAATTAATGTGAGTAAAGAACACACTGGTCCTCCGTCTGTGGAAGTTACAATGCAGTGGGACAGTAAAATAGTCAAATAATAATACCAAAAATAAAAAATTAATATGTGACATAAGATTATAATATACAAACTATAATAGTATTATATTAAATTACATTAAATGATATTATATTAGTCAATTGATGCAAAAGGGAGATACCTGAAACCGAGAGAGTATTTCATTGTGACCTATGGTAACCGGTATGTGGCAGGTGGCCTAGAAAGTCTTCCTTGAAAAAGTAAACTCTTCAAGGCCATGGCACACACTTACTTTCAGTTCCCACTGGGAAGCAATTAATTCATTGCAATGCTGGTGCAATAGATCTGTAAAGTGTTTTGGTCACATATTCTCCCTCCCTATAATATCTATGCCATAGCAAGGAGTCTGTCTTGCTGTTTTGTGCATCTTTTGTCCCCACAATGCCAAATGCAGAACTGTACAAATAATAGATTCTTAATAACTGTTTGTTGATTACATGACTGTTTTTGAATGAATAAGAACATAGAATAGACTATAAAGAAAGTTAACCTTTGGTAGTTTTCTCTATCAGTAAATGGTTTCTAGGCTGAAGAATTTGTACTTTTAAGTGAATGTTTGTGAACTTCACCTAAAAAATATCAAATAAAACTTTTGGGGGTTACACTGTATTCTATTGATACCTTTGGTGTTCTAACAGTGAAATATATCAGCTAGATAACTTGAATATTCTCCCAGAGCATGCCCTGGGAGTCTGCAATGGTTGTAGACAGTATGGAAAGTTGTTTTACTTTATGTTCATAAAGCAGATTGTTGTCTTCTACCAATCTCTGTTTGTCTCCCTTTCCATGTGAGATTTTAAGTGAAATGAATGAATCCATTTCAGCTGACTATGAGAATTTTTTCCCTAAGAACTCTAACTCTTTTTAACTATGTGCTCCTATTCCAGGCTTAATAGATAGTTCTGGACTGAGGTTATTTCATACGATGGATATAAGGAAGTACGATGCTGGGGTGATTGAGGCTGGCCTCTGGGTGAGCCTCTTCCATACCATCCCTCCAGGGATGCCTGAGTTCCGCTCTGAGGGTCACTGCACTCTGGAATGCCTAGAGGAGGTAGGCAGCATCCAAGTGTATGAGCTGCTGTCTACAGATGAACCCATGCACTTAGAAAATATGATGTAAAATTTTACTTGTATGTTTATTATGTGTCCTTTGCTTGTTGGCACCTTACAAAGCCATTATTACAATTTCATCAAGACCTATGACTGCTTTTTTTAAGTCTTGAAGTCTACAGGCATAGAACTCTGGGGGCAAGAATAACTGAAGGGTGCTTTCCTTCTATCTCCTGCCTCCTTTGTTTCATGCTGGACACTTTATTTCATCTTTGTTTTTGTAGTCTCTCCTTTCTCTGTTTTACATTTAACCACTTCTATTTTTTCATTTTTCTCTTTTCCAATGCATTATAGTTTTTTTCCCTTCACCAAAGAGCAAGAATAACTAATGTAAAGTATATTTTTCATAAGAGAAAACCATGTGTAAGCATTTAATAATAAGTATTTAAAACTAACTATTGTTAGTTTTTATTTTGAATCAAATATTTCAACATGGATCATATTCTTTGTGATTTATAAGATATGAAGTGGAAAGACTGTGGTCTGCTGAGTTATTTAGATCATAGTTCAAATTGTCTGGCTTTTTTATCTGAAAAAGTAGGAAAAAAAGCTTTCTAAAGTTTGCATTTTCAGGTAACTAACATGCTAGAATGTTGACTGCCTCTTTCCCTCCTAAAAGAAGTCAAAAGAAAAACAAATTTAGGAGTGGTCTGGTAAGTTCCCTTTCCTGTCTCCTGGCAAATGTTGCTTTGCAAAGAGAACATTGAACAGTCCAAATTCCATGTGTTTGGCAGCTCAGTTCAACCGTTTACTTGAACCACTTTAACTTTTCTTTTAAGTTGTCCCTCCAAGTTTGTTTGAAGGTGAACTGTCTGAACACGCACTGGTTTGGGCTGACTGGGTCTTCCTCACTGTCCCCGCAGGCTCTGGAAGCCGAAAAGCCAAGTGGAATTCATGTCTTTGCTGTTCTTCTCCATGCTCACCTGGCTGGCAGAGGCATCAGGCTGCGACATTTTCGCAAGGGGGAGGAAATGGAATCACTTGCTTATGATGATGACTTTGACTTTAATTTCCAGGAGTTTCAGTATCTAAAGGAAGAGCAGGCAATCTTACCAGTATGTGTGCATTTATTCTTTTTCACCAAAAGTTATGAAAGTCAGGAGGCATATCTGCCAAGATGTAGCCCAGTTTTTACCAGAGCAATAAATTGCTCCTTGTATCCATATTCTTAAAGCCACCCACCATGGGTGTTGCACAACTCAAAGGGAATGTGCTTGATCTGTTTCCAAAATTGAAACTCACCTTTCTTACTATTCCCAGGGGCAATGCAAGTTCTTGATCAAAAGAAAAAAAGAAAAACAAAACAAAACAAACCTCAGGTTCTAATCACAAAATGTTTCTGTATTACACTTTTTAAAAAACCTCTTCACCGGGAAGCAATCATTTGGCTTGCAGTTGTGATAATGGTAAAATCAGAGGTTTCTTCATGCCATCTTGAAAAGAGGATATACACTAGCAGTTTCATTCAGTACAAAAGGACGTAAAGACAGTTTTGTTTTCATTAAAAAAAGCCATTCAGATATATTTAATTTCTCTCGGCTGTGTGATCTAGTTTGCCAGAATACTTGGGGTTATGGTGGAAGAAGAGGATCTTATGTCTTAACAATAGGAAAGCTTTTTTTTCCCTTTAATTTTATGATGCCTTCTGTTCTCAAATATTTTATTCCATGGCCATTGAGCTCAATAGTCATGCAATTTCTTACCCTTAATCAGTTCTTAAAAGTCAGATGAAATGACAATAACAAAAGTTAGTTTATGAAAGGGCAATAACAATATTTTCTCTACATGAAGTTGAGGCAGGGTTTTTAAATGGGGTGGACTGTCAAGAAGAGAGTACAAGAGGATGTAAGGAAATATGTGAAAAATCAGAAGAAAACTCTGAAGAGAAGAACCTACTTTTCCCCAGTGATTATCCCTTCGATTCACATTTCTGAATCTACATTCCTTCTAGAAGTTCTTTGATACCTCCTAAGAGCAGAAAGATGAAGTTTGAGAAACAGTAATTTATTAAGGTTCTTAAGGGTTGTACTTTCTTTTATTATGTTGGTCTTAGGGCTTTCCAGCCAGTTTTACTATATTGTCTCAGCACTTCCTAGCTGGTATGCCATTAAGACATAAGTGTGAGATCTCTGTGTACTCTGAGAAGCAGGGCAGAGAAGGAAAATCTAGAGGCTGGTGTCCAGAGATGGCTGCATGGGTCCATGAACAATTGCTGCATGCATGGGGAGCCATAAACATACCCTCATTCTTCATGAACATTATAATGATCAGAAGGCTGGAAAGCGCTAGAACAATGAGTTACTGTTAATTGACCTCATAACTCTGTCTTAAGGAAATGGCGACATGACTAAAGAACTTTAAAGAAAATATGTAAATGAATGAGTAATCACTATACTAACTAGCATCCATGACTAACATTTCATTAAGATTTAATGTCCATTAGTGACTGAATATGCATTGTGTCATTCAACCTCCTTATATTAGCTATGTAAAATAAGTGTTATCTTATCATATTTTAGATGAACAAATTTCATCTAGGCTATTCAGTTCCATAACTAGGTTATCCAGCTGGAATGTTATGGAGTCTGGACTAAACATGGAGAGCAACATTCGTTAGCTTGCTTACTGATTACATAGCAAAACTAGAGTTAAACAGATCAAAGGTCTTCTCCTGGATCAAGTTACTTGATGCCTACATTCCCATGGCAAATATTACTTGTTGATCTATAAATGGGTTATATAAATAATACAGCACAAAAATTCAACCTAATAGTTTTTACTTTTATGTTTTAGGGAGATAACTTAATTACTGAGTGTCGCTACAACACAAAGGATAGAGTCGGGATGACTTGGGTAAGAAAATTTTATATTTAATAAAGTTAATTTATGGAGAGAAAGAAAGAACCTTTGATTTTGAAGGGAAAAAAGGCAAAACCCATTGACATTTGGAAAAATTCCTGAAAGTCTTCAGCATGAAACATCATAAAGGTAAAATCAGAGTTGTTTTGGCATTTTATCAGACTTCAAAATAATTAATGGTACTATGTCAATAATTACCATGTAATTTATTGACTTTCATGAAATCTATCTTTATCTTTTAGTTTTTTCTTACCAAATGTAATAAGACATGTGGTCATTAGCTGGCTGCCTACTTAAATCTGAATTTTGGTAAATTTAGACTTCAAAAGAAGAATGAACTACATGTTCTCAGAACCTCTGACCCAAAGAGAAGTCTGGTCTCAACACATTTATTGGAGAGTTCTGCTAAACATTCAAGCAATAGAAAATTCATGCCTTATTCATGCCTTCTAGAGAACACAAAAGACAGAATACCTCCTGCTAACTCATTTTATGAAGTTAACACAATCTTAGTACTAAAACTTCATAAGGGCAGCATGAAAGAGGCCAATAAGATGTACCTATCTTTGAGGGCCAGGGGTGTGGTTCAAGGGGGAGAGTACCCATCTAGCAGTGCAAGGCCCTGAGCTAAAAACCCCAGAACAGTCAAACAAACAAAAAATAAGAAACAACAAAAATGAAATGTCTTTGACAAAATATTGATAAACCAAATCCTATTATTATCTACAAATCTAATGTTATAACCTATTTAGGTTTAGTAAGAAATGTGTGGTTCACTTCAATTAGAAAATATTCAATAGCATTCCACATTAAGAGATTTGAAGGAGCCAGGCACCAGTGGCTCACACCTGTAATCCTAGCTACTCAGGAAGCAGAAATCAGGAGGATCATGGTTTGAAGCCAGCCCTGGCAAATAGTTTACGAGACCCTATCTCAAAAACAGCCAACACAAAAAACACTGGTGGAGTGGCTCAAGGGCTAGAGTGCCTGCCTAGCAAGAGTGAAGGCCTGAGTTCCAACTCCAGTACTGCTGAGAGACAGAGAGAGAGAAACAGAGAGAGAGAAACAGAGACAGAGAGAGACAGAGAAATTATTGAAGGAAAAATTTATAATCACCCCAACAGAAACAGAAACAATTACAAAATTTAAATCCATCATGGAGGAGAGATGGAGAGGAAGACACTTAGCAAACAAGGAATAGGAGGGAATTGCTTTAACTAAATAAAAGTTAGCTATGATAAAAATCTATAACTGATACTAAATTAAATTAAATACTAGTAAAAATTTTTCTTTAAAATTATGACGAGTACAAGGGTATTTGTGATCATTGCTTCTATTCAACATTGTCCTGGAATTGCATTGTACTCTATTAGATAAGAAAAATTAATTTGATGTAAGGATCAGAAAGGAAAAAGTAAACAAGTGAAACAATTGTTCACAGGTATTGTATTTTGTACATCAAACAAACTCCAAAACGACATTTTAAATTAATTGTATTTTAATTTTTAATAAACTATCTTGAAAAATGTAATTTAAAGTTTTAAGTGATACAAAAATAAAATCTAACACCAGATGTTTTAATCTCTGTTGAAAAATATAAATCCTTATTGTGAGACATTAAAGAACAGCTAAAGGAATTAAGCGATCCTGTGTTCGTGAAGAAAAAAGCTCAGTAAAATAAACATTTCCTCAAGTTGATCCATAAATGTAATATAATTCCATCCAAAGAAATTTACAGCAATTTTATGATTGACAGTTTTGGTACTCTAAGAAATCTTTACCTAGTAATAATTGCAACGATTTTCTCCTATTCTTTGTTTACAGTTTAGCTTTTACACAGGAAAAGTTGATTGTAAAGTCTACTTGGAAGGGCAAAGGGTTAAGAATAGGCAAGAAGATAAAACAAAACAAGACGGGAAATACACTACAAAGTGTGAAGGCATATTTTAAGTCTGGGTTGAATAGTACAATGCAGTTGAGGTTTAGATTTCAACTAGCAGGACATACTTGGGATCTTAGAAACACACTCACAAATCTTGTGTCTGGAATTGTAGCTTATGATGGGCAGAGAATTCAGATAAGTGGGAAAGTATGGGCTTCTCATTGAAGGATGCTGGCACAATTGGGTATACATATGAGAAAATAAAATTGGGTCTTCTTCTCGCACAATACATAAAAATCAGTTCCAGATAGATTAAATATTTAAATCTAAAAAGTAAAAATTTAAAACCATTGGAAGAAAATTGCTTGACTATATTTTCGTGATGTTTGAGTATTGAATAGTTAAGAATTTTTTAACAAAAGAAAAATAGGCATAAACTATAAATAGGAGATTAGTGATTTTGACTTCTTTAAGGTTTTCTTTACCCAAAGATACTATTAAGAAAATGAAAAGACAAATTTTAAAACTGAAAAATATTCACAATATAAAAGAAATTCCATAAATCAATAGCAGAAGACAAATATTCAATAAAGGAAAAAATTTAATAGAAATATAATCCCAAAAAACTAATAAACATGAAAATTTTGCTTAAAACTAGGGTTATACAAATCTAAACAAGAATGAGATATTTTATATGTACCATTTTGGCAATATTTAAAGTTGCATTTTCAATGTACTAAGATTGAAATATTCATATACCTTAATAGAAATGTAAGTTTGAAAAACCACTATGGGGAAAAACATAACACTGGAGTTTCACAATGCTCCTACGTACATTTAACTTTGGAATTACACTTTCTGGGTGTGATCCAGGAATGTAATATGTAAATATATGTAGTTAAATAACCCAGGAACAAAAAACAAGGAACACCTTGAATATCCATGAAAGGAGAATAAATAAATACAATATACTTAATAGCATATAGTCATGAAGATAAAACCTCATATATTAATGTGAATCCATCTGAAGAGCACAGTGTTGATTGAAAATGCAAGTTTGCAACAGAGCATATCTAGTGTGGTATATTTGTAAAGTTCATGAACATGTATCATTTAGAGATACACACTTCAATAAACCAAATGCAAAATGTAGTGAAAAGCCAAGAAAGATAAGGAAAATGATGAGCTAATGGTCATCTTTGGTTGGTATAGAAAGAAGAGGGATTGAAGCTGGGCATGCAGGGTAGTCCATATACTGCTATTGGTTTTATTTCTTCTCATGCCTTGTATATAATTCTGTTTATATGAAACATTTTGCTGATGACATATAGCAATTGATTTATCGCAGTGGGAGCTTGGTGCAAGCCTTGATACCTTGCTCAAGGCCAACACAGCCAAACCCCACCTACTGGAATTGTCAGATGATAGGGTGATAACTCAGTTTTGTCCTTTATTGGAAATTGCCCTTGGTATCAGGGAGCAACTCACTTAAAGCTATACTCTCTCCAGTGAGGCAGCCAACAGTCATCCCATGGCCACCTCAGCTCCAGGATTGCTGAAACATGCCATGATTGTAGCATCAGCTATAATTTCACTTGTAGATCAGCTCTTTCTATGGCCCAGTCCTGCCTCACTCATCCATTGTGAGATACCATGTGTCTGCAATTAACAAAATCAAAGCAGATTAACTTCTACATTAATTTATAACCATGAACTATACTACTAAATATTTCTCACGTTCATTTTTGAAGGATAGGTTTGTGAGTACAGATGGTTGAGAGTTTTTCCCTATAACAGGTTAATATATAATTCCATTATCTTTGTGTTACTTCCATCATTTCTGATGAAATGTGTATCAGTTAGGCTGCCTGTGTGTCATTCTTCTATTGTTGCTTTCAAGATTTTCTCTTGTCTTTGGCTTTGAGAAGTAGGACCATGATGTGTCTAGGTATGGCTCTTTATCTTTGGCATTTGTCCAGTTTTTAGGTTTGTAAGTTCATGTTTTTCACTAAATTTGAGATGATTTCAGCCATTATTTCTTCAGAAAGTTTTCTACCATATTCTTACCCCCCCACACACCCTTTTGGGTAGTACTCTGTTTTGAACTGAGGGTTTTGCACTTGAGCCATGCCTCCAACCCTTTTTGCTGTGGTTATTTTTGAGATAGGGTCTTACTTTTTGCCCAGGCTGGCTTGGACCATGACCCTTCTTTTTATGCTTCCTTCTCAATGCACCACCACACCCAGCTTTTTTCTGTTAATCTGGACTCGAACTATGATCCTCTTAATCTTAGCCTCTCAAGAAACTAGGATTATAGGCATGAACCACTGGCACCCAGCTTCTTCCCTTTCATTTTGGAACTCTAATTACATGTATGTTGTAACAATAAATATTGCCATACAGATCTCTGAGGTGTTTTTACTTTTCTTTAGTCTCTTTTCCTCCTATCTGTGCTTTGGATGAGACAATTTCTATTTATTAATTTTCACATTCACTGATTCTTTCCTTGACCATCTCAAATCTGCTATTGAGATCATCTTGTGGGTTTTTTACTCAGTTTTGGTAACTGCCAGCTCTAGAGCTTCTATTTGTTTGGGTTTTTACTTTCTTTTTTTTAATATGTCCTGTCTCTGGTTTCATTCTCTATTTGCTTACTCTTTTTTATCTTATTTCCATTTAGTTATTTGAATATATTTTTGTTTAACACTTTAAACATATTTATATCTTTTCTTGGGCAGTACTGAGGTTTGAACTAAGGGCTTCCTGCTTGCTAAGCAGGCATTCTACCACTTGGGCCATGCCTCCAACCCTACATCTGTCTTTAAAACTTTGCTAAATCTAGCAGCTATATCATCTCACATTCAGTTTCTACTGACTTTTCCCCCTTTAGCACAGATCATAATTTCTTGTTTCATGTCTAATAATTTTTGCTTGCAAACTGTATATAGAAGATAATATATTGTAGCAACTCTGGATTTTGTGTGAGGATCTTTGATTTTTGAAGTTAATATATTCTTAACTATTTAGTTACAAAGGTAGTATCTGTCTCCTGTGTGATACGCAGCTATTGATATTTCTAAACATGAAGACAAGATTATAGAAAATTAAGTTCAGTCAGGAAATTTTTTCATCAAACTGACAGACTGGCATAACACTAACAAATTATGCTGATAATCCTCCGAAATGTTCACTGTGATGAGAAGTTTGCATTCTATCACTAGGAGGTCTTTAAGGAGATTGTTAGCGATATTTAAGACAGGCAACATTTGAAGAGATAGAAATAATTGTATTAAGTATTAAGTTTTGAATGTATACCCAGGTTTTTGAAAGCTAAAGATCATTTAAATGATTACTTTTCAGCCTTAGAACATTTCCAAATTGAAAAGCATTGGTATCTTTTGTGTTTTATGTGCCAGAACTGGTGGAACATGCATTTTGCTAAGTAAAATATCTCTGTTTTTAGGGAGGACTAAGCACCAGGAACGAAATGTGTCTCTCATACCTTCTTTATTACCCAAGAATTAACCTTACCCGATGTGCCAGTATTCCAGACATCATGGAACAACTGCAATTCATTGGTGTCAAGGAGATCTACAGGCCAGTCACGTAAGTGGCAAATGGATTTTTTAGGGAGCTCACACTTGAAACAAGGGTGGGCCTTATTTCATAGTGAGGTCAATGTCATGTTTTGCAATTATTTTACATGCTGTTCTATTTGATTACTTGTAACTGGCAAGAGCAAGTAAGGTTCTTGATTGCTACACTCAGGGTCCCCCCAAACTACCTACAGGATCAGTGATTTGCTAGGAGAACCTAAAAGACTCAACATTTAGTTTTACTCTTGGATAATATTTATTACAGGAAAAGGATATAAAGCAAAATGAACAAAGAAAAAGGCCTATCTAGAGTAAACCAGGTTCAAGCTTCCACAAGCATCTCCAAGTAGAGTCACACAGAATATGCTTAATCCCTCCAGCATGGAATTGTGATTAGATGAAGTATCGTCTACTGGGGAGCTCATCAGCATCTCCATGCCCAAAGTCTTAATTGGGAACTGGTCATATAGATGCTTTTTGACTAATGTGTGCCAAAATTCCAAATTCCTAAAAAGAAAGCAGGTGCTCAGCAAAATCACATTGATTGTGTAAGGAAACTAGTCATACTGAGCCACTGCGATCATTTAGAGGAAGTTTTGTATCAATACAGGAAATTGTTGACTCTTAATTCCAAGACACCAGCCATGGGTCAACCTTAAAAGAAGCAGGCCTTTCTCAAGACAGTAGTCTTAGGCCTGCTGTGTAAACTCTACACAATTGTATATCGTAGAAACTACTTAAAATAAAATAATAAATAAGATATACATTGTTTTTTCCTCTTGATATTATATTATAGAGTGGGGAAGAAGTAATAAATAAATGAATATGAAATTATAAATAGTAGATGTTATAGAATAATCAAAGGAGTAAAAGAATTGACCTGTTGTCAATAGGATGAGGAAAGCTTTTCTAGGGAGTGATACTTGAGCAGAAATATACGTGCTGAGGAGCCAGCAATAGCAAGTTACACAATGTATTCTACACAGAAAGAAGAGTCAGTGGCTGTGAACCTACCATGTTCGAGGATCAAGTGGGTCCATTTGACCGGAGCAGAGTGAAGTGCAGAAGAGAATAAGTGAGGTGGGGCCAGAGCAAGTGAAACCAGATCATGGAGGATTTTATGGGAAACGTGAAGAGAAAGTATCATAGGATATGAAAAAAGTTGGATGTGAGGGCGATCTGGCTGCGACATCTGTCACCCCATTGATCGCCAGGGTTGATTCGGCTGATCTGGCTGGCTAGGCGGGTGTCCCCTTCCTCCCTCACCGCTCCATGTGCGTCCCTCCCGAAGCTGCGCGCTCGGTCGAAGAGGACGACCATCCCCGATAGAGGAGGACCGTTCTTCGGTCAAGGGTATACGAGTAGCTGCGCTCCCCTGCTAGAACCTCCAAACAAGCTCTCAAGGATATGAAAAAAGTCAAATTGGCCACTGTGTTGGGAAAGGACTGTAGGAGGGCAACATAGGAAATACTGCTACCAATCAGAGAACTACTGTGAATGTCCAGGTGAGAGGCGAGGATGCCTTGGGCCAAGATGGTGACACTAGAGTTGATGAGAGGTGCTTACATTAAGGTCACCCTTTGAAAGATAGCACCCAGGGACTTGTTGGCTGATTGCTATTAGGGAGGCAGTGAGAGAAAGAAAGCAAAAAAAAAAAAAAAAAAAAAGCTCAATGAGAGATGTTAAAGAAAGAACACATAGAGAATTATGTTGTACACACATTAAAGTAGATGTTGAGAAAGGATTTCATCTGTTCTTATCAATATCAGCAAGAAGAATTAGACTGGTGGAAAATTTGGGATGTTATAATCTGTTTTAATATACAGAACTTTCTAACAATTAGAGCTTTTCAAAATTAAAGGGACTGATATAAATTATACAAACATACACACATAGGTTATGAGAGGCTGCTTTTAAGAATGGAGGACATGGTAAAATGCAGATAGTCAAGGAGACTATAAAGAGGGTCTCCGTTTTGTTCCTGTATATTACAGGGATTATAATTTATGAGCTAAGGACTGTTTTTTAAAATTTAAATTAATCCTTATTAGATATATTTTACTGAGTTCATTTCTAAGCAACCCTGTGACTAACAGAATGGAAATCTGTAGCTAGTAAAATACAAATAAGAAAATGTTTGGGTAAATTGGCTTGTAGTTACTAAGTGTTTTCACATGCAAATTTCATTTAATCTGCTTCAACGTAATTCCAAGATAGACATGCAAGCAGGACATGCAATCCCAGATTTATAGCAGAGAAAATTGAAGTTAAGAGACTAAGAAACTGTTCAACATTGCATAGTATATAACAATTGGGAAAGTTAGGATTTGTATAATTTTCTCTCCTATGGAAGACGTTTCTAATAATTAGAAGTTTTCAACATGAAAGGCACTTATGTAAGTATATGAAAATATACACATATTATAAACCAAATATTAATAGAAATTAAAACAGCAAATAAAATGCCATTTAAAAACTACTAGTATATAATCTTGTTTTTAAAAATTTGGGGTTATTTTGATTTGTTTGCTGTTTGTGTTCTAGTGCTAGGGATCAGACCCAGAGCCTGGCATTGCAGTGCTACTGAGATGTACCTCCAGCCTCCAACATTCTGATCTCATATTGTTCCTTCCCTAGATTTAACTCACTTTTGTTCCCTTGAATACTGTTTTTTATATATTAAGTAGGAAAATTTCCTAATCATATTTTTGGGAGAGAATGTTAAAAACAAATGCTCATTCAAAGCTGTGTGCTTACAAGATGAATATTCTACCACCCATTTTCTGTTCAACTTGTAGGATTCCTCTAAAAATACTCAGCTCCCCTTTCCTGGCAGGCTTTGCTAGTGTCCCTAACTCTGACCTCATTCAGGAGACACTGAAGTTGGGTTTTCATCACCTGGAAAAGCAAGGAGAACTGCTTCATAGAACAAGGCCAGTTTTGAGCGGTCATTGCCCAAAACATTTAACTTTGTGGTTAAATTTATTCTTCAAAGACATGAGAAATAAAGAGCCTCTATTTTAAAATAGCATGTTTAGGTTTTAAATTAGACTTTCAAATCTAGTTCATCATCACAGTGACATGAATGATAGTAGAGGCCAAACCAATCAGGTATGTCTAAAGACCAGAAAGAGAAATGGTGAGGTGCTCTTCTTTCTACTTTGCTTAAAATAGTATTACTATTGTACAGGTCTGAAAGGAACATCATATAACATTTGATTCCAAAGACTCTGTTCTGTACTTTTAATAGTTAATTAGGTGTTGCATTTTATTTTAAGCGTTCTGTAGCGATCTTAGTATTTAGATAGGGAGTTGATAGAAAAATACAGATAATGACATCTTGTCTCATTTTTATTGTCTGTTCTGGGGGATGCAATTTTATTCTGCCTCCCGCAGATCTAGCAAGGTATAAGTAAAAACAAACAAAAAAACTTACAAAGAGGTAAAAGAGTGGATGATGAGTTTAGGGAAGTTCTGTATTTTCTGTTGTGTGACACATCAGCACTGAATATGCCACTCCAGTGAGGTTTATGTGATGGAAAATTCCTATGTAATTGCTTCTCATTTTAAAACAAGGTCAGGAGTCATTTCTCTTTGAGTTTCCAGGAAAATTGCTTTATGCTTTATAATTTAAAAATCACACTAGCATATTATATAGAGTCTAGGTAGTACAGAGCAAATCTTTTAAAACCATGCAAAAACATTCACCACAAGTTCTGTAGGAAATAAACATTGCTGACATAAGTAGAATGTTTACTACAGACATCTTTAGATGTACACATTGATATGAAGATGAATAAATTGAATGTCATCAGAAAGATTATACCTTGTACACAAATTTAAGCAAAATCAATCAACTTTAATTTTGCTTTTCATTTATCTGAAGAAAGAGAAACTGAAGTACAACTAAACATTTGTGGAATTTCAAATAAATTTTGCTGTTGTTTCAAGCACAAGAGATAATATTTTATAAAGGGGATCTCAAATGATGAGGAAATAGATCATAAGAGACATTAAGATATTGTACTTACTGCTTTTTTTTACAACTTTCAGTTTTAGATTATGAAAGATGAGAACATTAACACTTTCATATTCTTCCCACATTTCTTTTCCACAACACCAAATACTTACTACTTATATTACAAATTTTTGCATTTTCATGATTTTTAACTTTTACATCTAACTTTGAAGCTGTAATTCCCATAATATTTAATGTAATATACATATTTAAATAGAGTCAGTGATGCTCTTTAATCTTTATACAATTCCTAAATTTCTAAGTTTTTAGTGTAATTTGTCAGTGTTTTATTCTCAAGTTGTTGAATCAGGAAGGGCTTCTGGGTGTGGTATGCTCCCAGTTCTTTCATGCTTGAGAATTTCTGCACTTTTATTTAGATATTGTTTTGTCTGGATACGTACTTTCTTTCCCTTGGGACATCTCTTTGTATGAATGGGGGAATTCTTCCTTTACCCATAGGACTCATGAACTACTACTCATTGAATATATATATATAAGTGTTGAGCACCTGAATCAAATTTTTCTGAAACATGAGTGTTCATTCAAAGCATATATTCATTTGGTTTTTTTCATTTCAGAAAAAATTTCTTGTATTATATTTACAATTTTTTCTAACATTTTTGCATTTTTCTAGAATATAAAAATTTTCCAAGGGGTTCTCTTCTGTATCTTATTTTTTCTAATATATTTGAAGCAATATTTATTTTGTCTTAAATGTATTTCCTTCACAATCTCCTTTTTCATCTCATTCTGTTGTTTTATTATCTTGTATTTGAGCTTCTATTCCATTAAATTCATGTTATTAAATAAGCTGAACACATGAAATAATTTTTAGAATTATTTCCACTATAATTTGTTTATATTTTCTTCTAGATTTAGTTTTTCCTGTATCATTCATTACAAGCAATATTATATAATTTTCTTTTCACCCCGTGTTTGTATTGTTGTCTCATTTCTTGCTTATGCTGAGACACTTCTGTCCAAAACTTCTT